CAATTCACTTCGTGAACTCGGCAACCAGGTTACCGGGTTTTTTGTTTACGTCCCCTTTTTGGGGGGGGCGGTAACCATAGTGGTGGTCGAGTAGATCATGTTGGGCGGGGTCGAGAACCCTCCGTCCGCGCAAGGGGGATGATCGCACCACGTTGTGTTAAAATGGTCAAGCACCCTCGAGGCAGTTACACAGTGCTTACAACTGTCTCTGGAAGTGAAAGCACCAGAAAATAAATTAAGTCATACGCAGCTGTCATCCGTACGCAAGGAAGTAAGCACAAGATGCCGAAAACCCTTAGCAGGATGCAGCGCACCCTTCATGCGACTCGCCGAATATCTCACGGCGCTTCGCGCTTGGTGATGTGAGAGCCTGGTCCGGTGAGAACCCGGCGTGCTCCGTCCCGGCTTTGTAGGGATGCGAGGTCAATGGTCTAACGACTACGGCATGCACGACTATGAGTACGCCCCCCCCCCCCCTCGAATGCTCTGTCCTCTCGAGGACTCGTAGTCAATGGTCTAACAGCTAAGGCATGCAAAGACATAAGGATGACCCCCCCCCCCTCCCCCCCTCCATGTGGAAACGACGCCTACAGCTGTCTAAGAAGACACCCTCGCTGGAGCAGATCCGGGTGATCTTGGAGGCGTGCTTGTACAAGGGTGAGGCGGAGGAGGCTGCCACGGACCGGGGACGGCGTGAGGCGTTCACCCTTGCAGAGCTGCAGGTGCGCACGGCATCCGTCTGCCGCAGCAATTTTCGGTCGATTTTGCTCGGGGGACCGGGGCGTAGACAACGCTTGATTGAAAAACAAAACTTGGCTTGGCAGATGGCAAGATGAACCCAGCAGGGGGGGCGGTCTGTTTCCTCCGCCGTGTGGCCAAGCCGTGCGGAAGGGAAAAGGACCATGCACGTGGGACTTTTTGAGACAGAAGGGGGGGGGTTGCCGATTCCTGGGATGGAAACTTTCGGCCTGCCTGGCTTGAGAGACACGCCCCTTCTCCCTTCCTGCTTCTGTTGGTGTGTGTGTGATCTCACCGCTCGGTAAAGCTTCCCACCGATCCATCCGAGAGTTTACCCCGGAGGATTCCGCCTGTTCCGGGCATGTCTCATGATACAAGTTATCCGTTTGCGTCGCCTTGAAGAGGCGATCGACCACGGTCTCGATAGACAATCATTCCGACCTCCCGGTCGGTCTCGCGAGGCACATTTTGGAAGATGGAACACCGCCGAAACTGTGCTCCCTGTTCCTGCTTTGTTGAGAGGGTTTTGTTTCTTTGTTGACGCGACGAGTTTCTCTATCAGGATGGGGACGTGTGCTCTGTCAGTGCGCGGTTTCGCCCAATGTTTACTCCAACCCGTGCTCTCACGGAAGGGTTTCCCACTACCCACCCCTGAGGCTCGATTGTTGTCGCTGCTTGGTTGTTCGGCCCTGGTTTCGCCGATGCCAAGCTGGGCATCATTCACAACAGACCGTAGGGTAGAAGGCGGAAGAAGTTCGTGTTCAGGTTGCTATGCGTGCTACTTGGCTTGGGAGCGTAACTCTCGGTTTTGGTGCAGTTCGACTTGCTCTCTTGAGGGTGTAGATTTGCTATGTGCCGCACGAATTGGTTGTGTGTGGCGTGGAAACTCGGGCGTTGGTCATGCCGAAATTCGCCTCCTACACGATATCATTTCCCACTCTGACTGTTCTTTGGTTCGGTCTCTCTCCACGTGCACCGTGCAGACGAGAGTCCAGTTTAGCCGCCGGGAGCTGTTGCAGGGTCTCAAGGAGCTGGATGCTCTAGAAATCGATGGTAAGATGTACGCCAACAGCAACCACACCAGCTTGTGTGGTGGGTTGGGACGACTTGAGCAAAGCCCTTGCTTACCTGCCTTGGCAACGTCGTATCAGTTTTTGTTTTGTTGTTTGTTTTTCTCCCATCATTGGACTCTGTCGTCTGCCCCTCTGGCCCCTATCCTCCACTTCTACTAGCTAGACGACCCAACCGGGGTCACATAGGAGGGGGGGGTTGGACCCCCTCCTGCGGTTCATGCCTGAGGTATTTTTATCGCGAGAAGGGTACAGCAATCCCTTCCCTCGCGACTTNCCCACTAGACCACCGGGGCGACCGGTTCAGTGTCACAGTCCAAACTTGCCGGGGATGGGACGAATCGGCGTGGTTTCGGAAGACCAGCGGGTGATTTCCCCAAGACACCTCGAAACGCCCCAAACGCCTCCCATTGCTTGACGAAACCATCCTGTGCCAGCGGTTTCTTCCTCCCCTGTGCCCCCCGGTGTTTGCCATCGGGGTTGGGTTTTCGTCGCTTGGCAACGACGTTGTAAAACAAGCCGCCC